ACACACACACACACACACACACACACACACACACACACACACACATATCCTTTGCATCAAACTGAGGACTTTGTACTGACTTCCATTCATTTTTGTAAGTGTATTTATGCATTACCCAGACATTTTCCCCAAAACTAACCAGTACTGGTCTATAGTTAACWCTAACCTGAACCAAATCTTAGTTGACACCATACCTCTAAACCTAACTAGTAAAGCACAGCAGAGCTGCAAACAAAGTGAAGGCATTAAAGAAGTCCTCACTTTACATCAAAGACCTCACTTTGATAGTAACTATGTTGCAGATGGTCCCCACTCTGCAGTAGAAACAAGTACACACATGCACACACACACAAAATGAGGGTAAAAATAGCACCCTGTGGTGCATATAGGCAGGCCTCTGTGAGTAGGAATCTGGAGTTGTGGGGGCTGCGACATACAGGAAACCATTTAACTGCCAGAGCAGTCAGTTTCTGCAGATATTTTGGACAACATGATAGTTTTGAGGGGAATGGGAGTGGAGAAGCAGTGTGTTTGTGTGTGCGGGGTGAGTGGGTGGGTTGTAAGGGCATGGTTGTATGTATGCTTGTACTGTGTGTGTGTGTGTGTGTGTGTGTGTGTGTGAGTGAGTGAGCGGGGTGTGTTTTTGGACATTGGGCCCTTCAAAAAGGGCCTTCTGTGCCGCTATCAGCCTGTGGGACTCTGAGACCGGCAGCAGAGCTCAGAAACAAAGCAGTTTGTTGATTTCCTGGCAGGCCGGTGAACAAGTGTCTCAGTCAGCCTCTGTGGGCAATAATCAGAAAAACAAAGTGAGGSTTCAGATGGAGCACGTCACAACGTTTGGACACGCTGTGTTTGTCTGTGATAGTTATTCATGTTCATTAATATAAAAGCAGCTACTTATCGAAGGCAAATGGTTTTGTCTCATGAAAGTCTGGATGAATTTTGATAAAACCTTTATAAAATAATCATCAGCTGCAGAGTTGTAAAGTAACTAAGTACAAATACTTTGTTACTGTACGTAAGTAGAATTTTTGGGTATCTGTTCTTTACTTGAGTAATTATTTTTCAGCCTACTTCTTACTTCTACTTCTTACATTTTCACACAATTATCTGAACGTTTTACTTCTTATATTTTTAAAAAAGGCATGAAGTTGAAAGTTGTTACTTTTATTTCATTTTTGCTTGTTTTCATTCCAGCTTGTTATAATAAAAAATAAATTCTATCCATATAAACTGTGCCTCCTAGATAGAGTGAATTTAACTGTGGTTGAATGAGAAGTATAAATATATAAAAYTCTGATASYGTATTAGTTTGTACACAAACAAATCATGTCACACTCCAGCAGGACATAATCATTAAAATAAAAGGACTGTACTTAAGAAGTATTTGTATTTTATGAATTATATTATTACATTTGGCCGCAGCCCTCAGATAGATTTTTATTTTGGGGAAAATATTTGTGCAGCTTTGATATATAAACTGAAACAGCTGGACTAGTGCATCCTAAATTTAACATTAATTAATTATTTTAATACAACAGTCATTTCTGCATTTGTGGTGGGAGGTCACCTCCTAATAAATGTCCTTACAGAAAATCTTGCTCATTTTAAATCAATACTTTTACTTTTAATACTTAAGTACAAAAAATATCAAATACTTTGACTTTTATTCAAGTAATATTCCCAAAGGAAACTTTAACCCTGATCAAAGTAAGTTTTTGGTAAGATACTTGTACTTTTACTTAAGTATCACTTTATGATACTTTATTCAACACTGATCAGCTGTACCACTGCAACTCTATTTTCAAGCTGTGGCCAAAAGGGCAACATTACTTTATTTCTAAACATAACATGATTCATTTTTTAAAGGAATGCTTTGTTTTTAATTAATCGTGCCATAAAGGCAGCTGTTTTATCTTGTTAGCATCTATTTGTAGCATTTTTCCCAACATCAAAATGTTCTTGTTATCCTTCCTGTACAGTATAGTAATGGGTAAAGTGCCACCTCCTGCACTTTATAGTGTGTTAACTCCTGTCAGGCTGAAAAAAGGGACATATCAAAGGCGCCTCGGAGCGGTGACGGGTGGAAAGGTTGGAGGAAGGGGTGTGAGTTTTGCCTCAGTGGCAGCTCTTAACATGAACTCTCTCAGTGGAGAGTGTGCCTTGGAGCCATACTTACCTTCATTTGCATCTTTTTTTTTTTGACGTGTGTGTTCAGGCGTGTGACTCCATGACCTTGCTAATGAAAAAGTTGGATCACCTCAACGACGGAAACCAAGAAGTCCAGACTGCTGCGTCCTGCTCCTCACACGTAGCAGGTGCTGACGAGGAGCAGCAGAGCAACACAGTGAGTTTGGATTTATTTGTTACACGATGTGTAAAAGAGACGTGTTGTTTGTGTGCATGAAGGAATACTGAGAAATACATTGGATGGTGGATTTTTTTGCACCTTTTGCACTTTTGCGGCTAAACGAATGGGAAAACCTTTGGCCATATTAGGCCATAGGTCACCTTCTAAAAAAGGATATCAAAAAAAGTACTTTTACTTTCCTGATTATTGTGAACAGCTTTATAACTTTTACTGAAGTACTTTTCCATTTTCTGTTACAATATTTAACTTTTACTATATTATAAGTACTTTATTGACCTCTGCTGTTTTCTATGCACAATACATATAAAATATGTATTGAATTTATTTTTATCCCTTGTAATATCTTTATTTTCTCCTCCCTAACCACGGAGACAACCGCTCCTCCTTTGCTTTTTCAGCACAGCAGCTTAGGGAGAAAGGTGGTCGGGGTTCTGTCCACGTGACGTGATGACATCACTCAATTGAACAGCTCTATGAAACAAACGGATCAAATCTGCATCCCCTCAAACGTAAACATCAGGGGAAAGAAAAGTTGAAGCGTTGCTCTCCTGTAGCATTTTTGTCTTTTGATGTTAAACCCAAATATTTTCAATCTACAGCAAAAGTACATATGAGTTTCAGTACTTTTTATTTCATTCACCTTTTTTAATTTATGAAATAACAGGACAGAAAAGACTATATATTTGTAGTAAAAATATTGAGCTAAGCCAACTTTTCAGGTATTGAATGAATACAAATGAAATACAAACTAAATTGTTAATGGTTAAATCTACTGTACAACTACGGGGTACTGTGAAGTTACACAGTCAAAAATTACACCAACATTTTTGTTTTATTTAGCCTTTTATAAGAAAAAAGGAACAGATTTATTTTTTAAAGTCAGTTTTTCACCATATGATTCATACATTTATAAATGTCATAGTTTATAAACTATATATTTAACTTACAAATTAAATATTTAGTTAACAAGCTAAATATTTAACTT